TGATCCAACACCAGGATGCAACTGAGTTGGTGAGAAATGTGGATAGAACTGAAGTCAAAGAAGCCCTATTCAGCATTGGTGATGATAAGGCCCCAGGCCCTGATGGTTATACAGCTGCCTTCTTCAAGAAGAAATGGGATATTGTTGGTGATACTGTTTTTGATGCTGTTTCTGAGTTCTTTTTGAGTGGGAGACTCCTTAAGCAGATTAACCATGCCTTGGTTGTCCTCATTCCCAAGATCAGGGAGAACCCTAGTGCCAAAGATTATAGACCCATAGCCTGTTCTAATGTGGTCTATAAAATAATCACTAAAATCCTTTCCAACAGAATGGCTGGACTGCTTCCTAGCCTCATTAATCCTGCCCAGGCTGCTTTTATTAAGGGCAGGAGCATTGTGGATAATATTCTTTTGGTACAACACCTGGTTAGGGGGTATGCTAGGAAGAGATCACCCCCTTGCTGTATGCTAAAGATGGACATCTCAAAAGCATATGACACAATCTCATGGGACTTCTTGAGGAATACACTTCAGGGAATTGGCTTCCCTCCCACCTTTTTGAACTGGGTCATGGAGTGTGTTACCACTGCATCTTTCTCACTTTCTATTAATGGAGGCTTGCATGGCTTCATTAAATGCAAAAGAGGTATTAGACAGGGTGACCCCATGGCCCCAACTCTGTTTCTTTTCTGCATGGAATACCTCTTAAGGCTGATCAGGAGATTGCTCTATGGGAGCAGATTCACTTTCCATAACAGGTGCTCCAAACTGGGTATTACTCATGTTACCTTTGCTGATGATGTGATGATGTTTTGCAGGGGAAATGTGGATTCTGTCAATGTTTTGGCAAAAGCTATTAATATTTTCTCCCAAGTATCTGGCTTGCATGTGAACCCTCTCAAATCCAATATCTTTCTGGCTGGAGAGATCAAAGACAGGACAGAGGATATCCTAGCTTTGGTGCCTTTCCCTCAGGGTAAATTGCCTGTTAGATACCTGGGACTCCCTCTTACCTCACAGAGAGCTTCTGAAAGAGACTTTGCCCCACTTGTGAATAAGGTGGATGAACATATCAGAAAATGGAATGCCAAAACCCTGTCAGCTGCTGGAAGATTGGAACTCATCAGATCTGTCATCCAAGGAA